TTGAACTGTGGGGCCATTTATCTATGTCAAATAGAGTAGGTGCTATCCCCTACTAGTGGCCTTCTACTTCCTTCATAGCACCATTCTGAATCTATAAATACTTTGTTTGTTTATTTTATATGATCTGACTCCTCACCCTCACTCTCATTAAAATTGGCAGCTGGGCAAAGGACATGCATGCCTCTTCCACACCTGAATCTTTGGCACTAGAACAGGGCCTGGTACCTAGACGGCGCTCAGTAAATGAGCTTTCGATAGCCTTTAACACCCAAACTTGTTTCGTAAACCCGAATGGGGATGCTGCAGCAGGCACACACGTAAGGATGCATGCTCCACGAATAGGTTCTTCTGGAGAAGGAAAGCTTTAAAAAAAAAATGGCCTGATGATCTACAGGGAAATGCTGTGAAATTCTAATAGGTCGTCTTGAGGGATGCAAAAGAGGACGGGAGGTGGCGAATGGATACTGCCTGAGCCGGGCACTGAAAATTCAGGAAGCTTTAGCCCAGAGTATAAGAGACAGCCTAGGAAGAAACAGTACGTCAAAGGCCCTGGAGAATACAGAAAGAAAACTAATTTCTTTGGATAGATTCTAGTCAGCTGTGTTGCCATGAGATAACTCTACTGACAGAAGCTTCAGTCAGAGGCAAACTTGTCTTGTAAACTGACACTTTAGATATAAAACCTTTGCCATGGCCTTTCAGGGGCCTGAGACATCTGCTAGCTGATGAGGTCTCAGGATAGAAAGGCCACTGATGCATTTCGACAACAGTCTGAACACTTAAAACTTAAAACAGTTATCTGCTTCCTGATCTTATTTTGGAAATAGTTACAACACAGCCATTGCTCACTGAATTGTGAAAACAAAAGCTGCAGGGACGACTTATCAGCACGCACCATCTATGCTGTAGTGCTGCGTGGGTCAGGTGTGTTGGTCTTCACTGCCCTGCGACACAGTTTGAACTGGCTTCGCTCACCCCATTTTAATTATGACACAGCTCTCAGAGTGTATGTGAGTGTGGTGTGAGGAGTGCTTTCCTTAGCTATCTCTGAGTCTCCATTCTCATCTGTAAACTGGAGACAGTGATATCAACATTTTAGAGTCATTACGAAGATTAAGTGAGATAATATAACAAAATGCTTAGCACCCTATGCTGTGCCTAGAAGGCTGCTATCACAGGCCTAAGGAAGAAGAACTAAGTACAACTAATAGGCCTTAAATTCTTATGTCTCATAACCAGAACTCATCTGCTTCCGGTTAGCATGTAAAGCGGTGTAACCACTTTGGAAAACTATTTATTTGTCAGTATCCATAAAGTCGCATATATCCCCATTCTATGAAACGGCAATTCACTCCCAGGTATAGATCCCAAAGAAGTAAATGCCCACAGAAGGGCGTGCACAGGAATGTTCCACAGAAACAACCTAAATGTCCTTTGACGGATGACTGGATAAAGAAGATGTGGTACATATATCCAATGGAATACTACACAACCATAAAAAGATGAAATATTGCCACTCATGACAATATGGATGGATGTTGAGAGTATCATGCTAAATGAAATAAGTCAGATGGAAAAGGACAATAACTGTATGATTTCATTCATATGTGGGATATAAAACAGAAAGCACAAATGAACAAACCAGACAAAAAAATAAACTCATAGATGTGGACAACAGAATGGGTGGTTACCAAGAGGAAAGGGAGTGGGAGGAGGATGCAGAGGGCAAAGGCAGTCAAGCGTATGGCGATGGAAGGGGACCAGACTTTGGGCAGTGAGCACGCTATGGAGTATACGGATATTGTATTATAAAGTTGTACACATAAAATTTATATAGTGTTATGAACCTATGTTACCCTAATAAATTTAACTAAATTTTTTTTAATTAAAAAAAAAAATACACATACAGACCAAAAAAAAAGTTAACAGCCATATTGTTCACAATAGCCTCAAACTGAAAACAACCCAAATGTCCTTCCAGTAGATTGGTTAAATTGGGGTATAGTGATGTAATGGAATGCACATAACAATGAAAATGAGGAAATTTTTGCAACTCACAACATGCAGGATTCTCGCCAGCATAATGCTGAACACAAGAAGCCAGACACAAAAGAGCATATGCTGCATCATTCCATCTATAAAAACTTCAGAAATAAAACTGATTTACAGTGCTGAATGTCAGGAAAGTTGTTGTGTTGTGGGGGGCAGAAGGTGACAGGGGAGGGGCACAGATGGATTTGTGGGCTAGTGATAATGTTCTATGTCTTCATATGGAAGATGGTTACATGAGACTGTCGTCACCTTATAAAAAGTTATTGAACTTGAGACTTGTGCATTTTTATGTATGTATGTTATATAGTTGGTAGATTGCATTACTGCTCCTAATTCTCCACTGGGGACACAGGATATTTCCTTGTCCTACTGATGTAGAGCTTGTTCATGTGATTTGCTTTGGGCAATAAGAGTTTGGTTGATATGATGTAAGCAGAGACATAAAATGTGTTTGAGTAGTTTGGTTTTGCCCTCTTGAGTTTCTGCTGTCACGGAGGAAAAAATTTTCCTTCTACTCTTTTAAGTTCTTCTGGCTAGTTTAAGAATTAAATTGACATGACATGGATTAACAGGAGAAAATTAAGTTTAATTTCATACCTATGGAGGTCTCATAGATATGGAACCTAAAGAAATGACCAAAGCAGATAGATTTTATACTTTTTAGACAAAGAAACCATAAATTTCTGAGGAATTGACATGACAAAGAAACTTAGGCTTGGGTGTTTAATTAGTGAAGAATCTAAGCAGAGTTTTTTTTTACACAGCCCTCTCAGCCCTGAATTTTTTATCTCTGGCAATAAGGGTGACTCTCCAGCTCCTGGTGAGCTGGGAGGGCACCTTTCACACAGGAGATTTATTTCCTGCTTTCAGAGAGACAAAGGATGGTCAGAGTGTCCTTTTTGCACCAGTTGTTTCTTAAGTAACTTTAATTCAAAATAATACACCAAAGTGGCATACTTTGGGGCAGCCTGCCCTGAGCCCCAGCACCATCATAGTCCTGAGAAGGATATACCTCAATGCTGCTGCTCTTTTGGCCTGATTCCCAGAATAATACACGTGGAGAAGATTCAGCCTGGAGCCTGAAGCTGGCCTAGCCCATGCAAGTTGCAGCTGATTGCAAGGAGTGAAAAAGATCATTGTTTTAAGACACTGAATGTTGACGTGCTTTGTTATACAGCATTATTATGAGAATAGGTGACTAATACATTATTCTTCAATAAAAAGGCACTTTAAGATCTCTATGCTCCTCTTTTCTAATAGTTACCTGTTTCAATTTAGTTACTGACATCCACCTCCAGCACTTAAATGGCTTATTCATGTCATATAAATGAACTTCAGCTTCCTTGTCTATAAAATGGGGATAATGCTTATTTCACAATGCTCTTGGGAGGATTTAATGAGCCAGAAGACCTAAAAGACTCTGTAAATTGCAGAACACAATTTTAAAGTGATGGATGATGGGGGCAGGAAGTGAGGTGGGAAAGCAAGTGTGTGGATCATTCCACACATAAGGCAAAGTTCCTTCCTCCGTCCGTGGCCCGTCCTGGCTCAGAGGGTGAGGACACAGTAGGAGCAGGAGGGGACAAATGTCAGGGCCTACACTAGAGCACTCACCAGGCTTCTGAGCACAGTTCTGTGGGGCCCAGACTGCCTTGGGAGATGGCAATGATTAGGCATCTCAAAGGCCAGCTTATGCACAGGCAAAGTAGGGGATACAGGACCCTAGGAAGGCCACTGCTACCCTTAAATCTATCCTCTACGCATTGCCTTCTACGGTGCTAAAGGGCCATTATCTGTCTTTCATTTAATTGTGTTACAGTACTGTGTGCCTAACCCTCCCCTGCTAATGCTTACTGCCTTTCTTATGGCACTTCTCAGTTACAAAAAGCAGGACCATCTGTTCTCTCATTTTGGTATTATTTCCATCGTGTAGATAAGAAACCTGAGGCTCTCAGAGATTAAGTGATTCCTGCAAGGCTACTTAGTTAATGAGTGTTAGAGCTGAATGTGCAACAAGTTTTTTGACCAAAGCTTAGAGAGGTAACTCACTGATGCGAGCAAGAATTCCATCATTAGATCTTCAGAAAGCAGGTGGCATTGGCCTGAGAAGACAGGACCAGTAAGTTTTGACAGGGGATGGGGGCAAAAATGGGCTTAAAGCATTGGGGGAGCAGTGGACTGTGAATGGGGAGGGGCAAGGGGAAAACGAGGAAGCGGGAGGGAGGGATGGCGCGAGAAGAGGAACAGACGCAAAGCCCGAGCTGGCCTACTAAGCGCATTTGTTCCCATGGAGAAGCCAGGGCAGTGGCAGGAGCACCTCCCAACAATAGCTCTGAGAGGAAAGAAAGGATCAGAAAGGATGCCAGCTAGACCAGGGACACTGCAGCCCTGTCTCCTAACAGCAACAGTCTGGCTGCCACCACATTCCGCAGTCTCCAAGAGCCCCTCTTGGGAACTCTCACACTGCCCACCTAGTTGGAAGGGCTGAGGTAAAATGCCAGGCTTGTCTCCTGCCACACTGGTCTTCTCTCCCCTTCTCTGCCTACCTCCCACCCTGCAGCCTGAGACTGGCCAACTGCCTGGCCTAAGACTGGCTCCTGTAACCAGCACAGTCCTCATCATCAAGATGGTTAATGCTGACACAGAAAAGGAGATTCCTGAACAAAGCTGTATTTAAGCAAACACACACTTCCTTTAGAGTGCAATATCAAGGACCCATTTCTGCTAATTAAACAAAACACGGCAACCCTCAAGGCAGGGATTGGGGTAAGGGTGGGGTCTTGCTATTTTGTTTGCAATAATTTTCACATGGGCGAGGCAGAGAATTTCTGTTGGCGAGGTGAACCTTCACTGACCCTTCCCTGGGTGCAGTCTCGGCTTGGCCCTGCGCTGGAGCCAGCGTCTCTCCCTTTCTCCAGTCCCAAGTCAGTTCTATGGCTGTGACCTACCTCTGTGGTCCGAAGGCCATTCTGTTTCTGGGTCAGAGAGCCTGAGCTGAGGCTCTGAGGATTCGGGCACTGGGTCCCACAGCTCATCTTCTCTGGGTTGGATATCCCACCTGGGGCTGCAGACCGGGGCACACCATTGGAAGACAGTCCATCTTCTAGCACACCTGGGGGAGGGAAGCAGAGGATGGCACCAGAGTCTTGCACATGACAATGACTACAAACAATCCCCAAGAGTGTGAAAAAACATAGCCAAAAAGAAGAGTCACCAGATATCCTACCATCTTTCTTGTAAGAACATGTGTGTGTTTACAAAAATGATATTTAAATAAAAAATAATTTTGTAAGCTGAAATTTTTACTTAAGAATATATCGATGGCATTTTACCATGCCATTAAATATTCTGCCACATGATTTTTCACATATAGTCTGCTACTGTGTGGATGTGTCACCATTTATTTACTAATCCCCTCTAGTTGGATATTTGTTTTCACTTTCTCAAAATAAATGTTACTGCGATGAAACTCCTCGTGGTTAAAGCTTTTACTCTTAATGACTTCCTTAGGATGAATTCCTAGAAGTGGGATCATTGATTTGAAGGTTATACAGTTTTTTACATAATTCTATCTCAAGATGTTCGACTGAGTTCCTCCCATAACAAATGTCAAGAAATGATAGAATAAAGTCTAAATAAATACCCTTTCTGAAACACAAGATGAGGACTACGATGACAGATCCAGGGATAAGAGCACCTGACTGAAAAGAGAAGCCTGCATGAGGCACGAGGTGCAGCAGCAAGCGGGAGGCGAGAGGCAAGCAGACGGAGGCTCTGCGACGCCACGAGAAGGCCAGGGCCACCCGTGCGTGTTGGCCATTCTATTCCTCCGCCAGCTCGGGCCAGTCAGCAACAATGGAGCAGTCTACGAGGGTGGGATATTGTGATAGAATAATAAATATCTATCTGGTCTTTGTTCCCAGTTCCTGGCACAGAGCTCCTAAAACCTTCTAACAATTTCCTAAATGATGGAGATAATAGCATCTTTTGTTGTAACATTGGTCTTTGTTCCTGGTACATGACACAGAGCTCCTAAATCCCGTGGAATTCTGTGAATGATGGAATCCTGGTACATGAAACAGAGCTCCTAAATCCCGTGGAATTCTTAGTGATACTTAGAATAAATATAAGTAAAGTGTTCCTGAGTTCTGTGAGTCATTCTAGCAAATTATCTGGCTTACTCAGAACTGAAAAAAGAGTGAAACCTCAAAATGAAATAGATTATCTACTACAATAGATGACTGGCTAAAGAAGCAGTGGTACATATATACAATGGAATATTACTCAGCCATAAGAAGAGATGAAATACTGCCATTTGCGACAACATGGATGGACCTCGAGATAATCATGCTATGTGAAATAAGCCAGATAGAAAACGTTGCCTATTGGTTAATTATATGTGTGTGTGTTTTTTTATTGTCAAGTTCATTTGCCTATCTTTCCTTGGGGGTGTTTGCCTGGGTTTGCTTTTAATCAAACTTAAGTAAAACAAACAAAATCCTTTCCCAGAGTGTTAAGAAATAATTTGCCACGAGGCGAGCCTCAGAAGCACAGTGTATCTGATATAATAAGGGAGGGAGGGGTGGTTGACTAAGCAGAGTTGATGAGGCTCCAGTCCTAACACAGCTGTGGAAGAAGTGATCTAAAAGACTCACATGTCCACATGTCATCCATCTGCTCTGCAAACTGCTAAGAGATTTTCAACTGTGGCCACGGGATAGAAATCAGAATTCAAATCGATTGAAAGTCACGATAGAAAATGCTTGGTCCGGAGTTTCCAGATTGGCCGGCCATAGTACACAGGGGCACTGTGGATGGGTTCCAGATGTGCAGAGAGATGGATTCCTTCAGCTAGGCTCACCCCAAATCTTTGTGCCCTGCTTCCTCTTCCAGTAGGCAATCTACACCCCTTCTCTTCCCATTCCCCTTTCATCCTATACCAGAAGGGCCTCAAATGCAGGTGTAAGCATACTCCAGTACACAATTCAATCTCTATCTCCACTGCTCCCTGCAAACAGTTGCCCCTTGGCCTAGGGGTGTGCAAACCTGGAGAGTGAATTAAGAGAAGAGGCTCATGAAGTACCCTAGAAACAGTCATGATGTGATTTGGGCTGGTAATTCCAGGGTCCTGACACACACATAAGAATCTATAATAGAGCTTCTCAGTGTGGTTCAGGGACAAAACTGTTGTGACCAGTCTGCTGTGGGTTAAGCGTGAAAACAACGCAAGCACTTGGAAGTTTCTATGGCAACTATGACATTGCTGGAACGTCAAGGGTGAACTTGTCTGACTGAACTTCTTAGATTAAATAAGGTATAGACCAGTTTGGTGCTGTCAACTCAAGTGGTGTGACTTGTGTGTTAGTCACTCATGGTAGGGCCACATATCTGTCTGTGATGGACTGGGGAAAGAAAAAGCAACCGGTCCTGAAGGAGGGCTGGGGGATTTGGCGGTTGTGTTCCCTTGGCCCCTAGATAATTTGCCTTGGGGGCAAGAGGGGGCCAAGGGGGGCGGGATCTAAAACACAAGACCAAGGCAGAGACTCAGCTAAATTCAGTCTAGGGTGGAACTGCCTTCTACCCTTGAAGCTGCTGAGCATGACTCAAGGCTAGCTAGTGCTAACTTGGCTGTTACCCACAGTGTGCCATATGAATGCTACCTTTTTCTTTTTTTTTAAACTCTTTAAAAACTCTCTGTTATAGATTTACTTGATATTTAAACTGAGTCTGCAAGTTCAGACCTACATGTATAGATTGCTTCATGGTTGTTAGAGGCAAATATCACCATTTTCTAAGTGTGTCATGACTGGATACCTGGGTTGAGGGTGGGTAAGGGGTTCTGCTGAGCCATCCACTGACTGCACCATGGTGCTTCCCGCCTGGATAGGTATGGCCACCACCTTGCCCCACCCTGAGATACTTTAAGATGTGTACTTGACCCCAATCCTCCCCATGGCCATGGCCAGACCCCTGTGGGGCTTAGAGGACACGGAACACAGCTCCCTTTCCCCTCCCCCACCATGTAACCCAGTTTCTGACCCAAGAGGAGGGCAGCAAGGTGGGAATGAGAGTTAGAGACATCCAGGGCCAGGGCTGGGGCCAAGCAGTAGAGAACACACCCCACAGAGGCAGACAGACAACAGGACGTGGGACCAAGCATCCGTCAGAGTGCCAAGCCCCTGGTATAAGTTTCGATGTTCCATCAGACTTCACTTACAAAACATAAATTCAGAGATAAAATTAAGGATTTCAAGCTGGTGTCTGCAGAGCACTAAATCCTAAGCATAGGGACCCTCCTGAGCCTGGCAGGCTGGGTGCAGCGGCATTTGCTGCACACCCATGAAGCCTCTAACACCTGACAGAGATCAAGGCGGAGCTGCTGTGGCTGAGGTGCAAAGGGCCAGTCCTTCCCTCTCTAAAGCCCTCCCCCGCATTCCCTGGGCATCTCTGCTGAGCTTCAGGGCTCTTAGAAACACAGATGGAAGATCACTCAATTGGTCTGGTGTTTTGTTTTCATTGGTGGCTGAACAAAAATTAAAACTCTGGTTTCTTAATCCCCATTCCGGGGACCTCCTCATCTATTAAATGAGAATAACATTTCCTTCTTCATAGGGCTATTATAAGGATTAACTGAGACACCATAGATAGTCTTACAGTGTTTGGCACATACATTGTACTTATTATTATTTATGGCCCGACACCAGTCGCCTTGTCTCCTTGTGCTGCCTCTGTGCATTAGCTACATTACTTACATTCTGGATTTATTAGTCCCACATTCGGCGTCCCCAAAGTGCTTAACAACTGGCCCACTGAGCTTGTTAACAAGCCGAGGAGCTCTGATGACATGCAAAGAAACAGGGCTGGGCTTGGGAACTGGCATTGGCAAAGAGTGAGCAGGGGCCATCTGCTCGGTGTGGTCAAGAGACCACTTTGGGAGGTCAGGAATATGGGGTCATTTACTGTTACTTCGGCCTGCAACAAACCAGGTGATTTTGCTGTGTGGATTTAACTGAATTTGTATTTTCTAATTCTAAAAATAATAGGCTCAATGTTAGAAAACTTGTAAAACTATAGAAAAGCACCAAGGAAAAATAATTTTTACCTCGTTACCCAGAGATATCACTGTTAAAGGAGGTGTGTGTTCTTCCAGCAGATGCTACTGGTGCTCAACCACGTCCACTCGCCCGACTCCTGCACCCATCCCCCAGCTATCGTGGATGTTGGTGGCCAATGGTTCACACCTGCCCCCTTCTCCTAAGGCTTGCCCTTGGCTAAAGGAAACCCTCTCACCAGGAGAGACTGGCCACTTATATCAGGGGCAGCCCGTGGCCAATGATCAACTATAAGTATATGTGTACAGGAGAGAAGGGGGCTGTATAACAGCTCAGTCCCCTCACCTCTGAACAGCACAATTTCTGTCCCTTCATTCCGAAGCAACCCATGGGATCAGGCTGAGGCTAGACTAATTCTGAAGCCACATCTTTGCCCAGCTCCTTCTCCTGGCCCCCTCTGCTTCCCCCACTCCCTCCCTCAGTTCCCCTATCAGGGGGGTCTCTAGAAGTCACTTGCATAAAATCCCTATCTCAGGCTCTGCTTCTAGAGAACTGAATCTAAGACCGTGTATGCCAGGTATATTCCTTTTGCCCCTCCACACTCACTCTCCTCTCCTCTCTACCCTGTTCTGTCTCAGGACACTGACCTGAATGCACCATATCAACAGGCTCCCTTGCCCCCTGGCTTCTAGTTGGATTTGCAGTGCACACTGAGGTTGGGTCTTTACTCCTTTGGTTCCTTCCTTGTAGTGTGGCCATGGGGGCTCTGTGTTCTCTACATACTCTTCCACCAGAAGAGAGCACAGAACCCAGAGAAACCCAAGCGGTTGTGTAATGAGGAGATTCCTGATGACTTCAGGGAGAGCTCAGAGGAGTAGTGGGAACAGAGGATAGATGGCAGGTTGCTGAGGAGGGAGTTACAGATGCGGAATCAGTCAGGATTCTTCGCTGTAAGCAACAGAAATCGACTCCAGTAAGTTAAAATAGAAAAAGAATTCTTTTAAGTGATGTGGGAAGCTCACAGACTTTCTGAGAGGGCTGGAGGTTGATGCATGGAAGCTATCTATGAAGAAGCAATGTCCCAAATCCCTCCACGGAGCCTGTCCCACAAACCCCTTGACACTGCTGCTATGCTTATTCTAAAAAGTTATGTTGTTTTCTGACATTCAATTTTAATCGCATGTCCTGAATTTTACTGGCAACCTCCTGGGTTTCAAGTGCCCAGTCTGGGGGAACGCTGTTGTGAAAGCTGCACTGTATGAGACCCTGAGCTCCATCTGCATCTGTGCCCCTTGCTACCCTCTCAAGCCTGGTTGGTGAGAAAATGACCCTTATTTTATAGGAGAAGAAACTGAAGTTCAACCAAGGTTCTGTACTTTTCCAAAACTATGGTCTTAGCAAATAGTTACATTTCTGTAGAGGGCAAGCTCTCATGTAGGTGACTTTCAAATTTTAGTATGCGTGGGACTTGCCTGAGGTGTCTGTCAAAATGCAGATCTTTATACCCAGCCCCTAAAATTTCAGCTTCAGTAGGGGCCTGAGAATATGCATTTTCCCAAATTTCCTCTACCCCATTTTCCACCCTCTGTGATTCTGAGCCAGGGAACTATTAAGACCTCACTTTGAGGTTTCGACAACACTCATGCGGGTTTTGAGGGTTATATGCAAAATGCCCATCTATTTCTTTCCGCCGTGAATTCTATAGTAGTAAACTGAGGGACATTTGTGTGCCCCTAAGGTATGTCTTTTTTTGGACACTCTTCACAAAATGTTCATTCTCTCTAGAAGACAAGCCAAATCACTGACTTTGCCAAAGATAGAAAACAGCTGTGTCCAATGCTTGCTGACGAATTGCAACCAGTGACTTCTTGCCAAAGTTTCTTGTTCTTTTGAAAATGAAGCTGGGAGGGGGGCAGATCTTAAAAATTAAAAATGAACCATGTGGAGAGCAGGCCAAGGGGAAATTCCTCCTTAACCCAAACACCTGGCTTTCCCTGGTGACGGTGTTCACAGAGTCTGTCCAAAGTCACTGAAAGTCATTTCTTCGATGACTGAAAACTGAAGTATAAGACATTAACAGTCTACCTGGGAAGAATCTCCTAAAGTCACATCAGATGAAACTTTGTGGCTCATCAAACAGTGTCCGGGCTGAACACAGGGCTGCTGATAATTTTGTCAGAACTGATGTATACATTAAATAAATTGCAAATACTGAGTCATTTCCTGAGAATTTGTCTTTTCAAAATGAACTAGAAGGTGGGAGGGTGTCTGTCAATTTTTCAATCTGATGAGAAATTTTTGAGCACACATTATATGAAGCTGATAGTTGACATTTGTATGGCTAATACAAGAAAATTCTTTAAAAATTGTGAGTAACCATCACATTTATGGTCAACTGACTTTGGGTAAAGGTGCCAAAACAGTACAATGAGAAAAGAATTTTTTTTTCAACAAGTGTGTGGAACAACTGGATATCTACATGTAAAATAGTGAAACTGGACCCCTACCTCACATCATATACAAAAGTTACCCCAAATGGATCAAAGATCTAAATATAAGAGCTAAAACACTTAAGAGAAACACAGGCATAAATCTTCATGACTTTGGATTAGGCAATGAATTTTTTTAAAAATGACCACAAAAGCACAACAAACAATAACACAAAATAGATAAATTGGATATCATTAAAATTTAAAACTTTTGTGCTTCAAGGACACCATGAAAAGACAATTCACAGAATGGGAGAAAATTTTTGCAAATTATATATCTGATAAGGGATTCTTACTCCCAAAAAACTCTTATAACTCAATAATAAAAAAGACAAATAAGCAGATTAAAATATGTCAAAGGATTTAAACAGACAGTTCTCAAAAAAAGATATGCAGATGCCAATAAGCAAAGGAAAATGTGTTCAACATCATTAACTATAAGAGAAGTACAAATCAAAACTACAATGCGATATTGCTTCATACCCGCTGGGACGGCTATAATAACAAGTGTTGGTAAAAATGTGGAGAATTTGGAACCCTCATACACTGCTGGTGGGGATGCAAAATGGCATAGTCACTTCATTATCAGTCTGGCAGTTCCTCCAAAGGTCAGACGTAGAGTTACCATATTACCCAGAAATTCCGCTCCTAGATATATACTCAAAAGAAATGAAAACCTATGTCCACACAGACTGCACATGAATGTTCACAGCAGAATCATTCATAATAGCCAAAGAGTAGAAACAACCTGAATATCTATCAACTGATGGATGCATAAGTAAAATATGGTATATACATATCATGAAATATTATTTGGCAATAAACAAAACAAAGTACTGATCCATGCTACAACATTGACAAACCTTGAAAACATTATGCTAACTGAAAGAAGCCAGTTACAGAAGGCCACATATTATATCACTCCGTTTATATGAAATGTTTAGCAATAGGCAAATCTATAGATAGAAAAGTTGATTAGTGGTTACCTAGGGCTGGGGTTGTTGGAGGAAAATGAGGACTGACAATTAATAGATAAGGGATTTCTTTTTAAGGTGATGAAAATATTCTAAAATTGATTGTGGAGATGGTTGCACTACTCTGAGAATATACTAGAAGCCATTTAATTGTACACTTTAAATAGGTCAATTGTATAATATGTGAATTATAGTTCAATAAGCTATAATTAAAAGAACAGTGAGCAACACATTTTGGAAGGTTATATTGACTAAAGAAGCACATGTGAACTTGAAAAGCATTGGCTGGGGAGAGAAATTGACTAATGTATCTATATAGTCCGTAAGGACAATTGCAGAACTATCCTATCAGGCTCCAAAGGCCATGGGTCCTGAGTAAGAGGACTACTGTTCCCTGAGATGAATTGCCAGCTTGTCACATCTGCCCTTGGCCTCGGCAGTTGGTGGTGGAAACAGCTTCCCCATGGTACCCAGCAGCTTCCAAAAAGATGCCTGCTGAGAGCAACAGCTGGAACTGAAAGGACTGCAAGCAGAAGCAAAGAGCATCCCGTCTGTCCTCGGTGAGATCAGGCCTGAAGTCTTCTCTCCCCAAGGAGACACCCAGGAGGCAGCAAACGAGCTAATAAACTAAGAGGCGGCCAAAAGGAAAAGTCAAAAATCTCACTTTTCTAGGGTCTGTCAGTCTTTTCTGAGGGCTCACTTACCTCTCACTTTTCTTGTCCCTATGGATACCCTTAGGGTCTGTCAGTCTTTTCTGAGGGCTCACTTACCCTGCCTTGTCTCACTTTGATCCGCCGCGCCAAGGTCACCTTAGACCAGGGCAGGTACTTGCCATATCCATCAATTACTGAGGCTGCCCCTACTCTGATAAAAATTTAGCTTTCTCTCCTATCAAACATATTTCCTATTTACTGTTCGTAAGGTATGCAATATTGCTGTGACCATAACAATACCTTGTCGTTTTCCAGAGCCTTCCTTCCTAATTGCACTGAATCCTTTGCTGATGCTCTTCTTTTCGTCTCTCCTTGAATAATTTTCATAAACTTTTTAAATGTTTACCTTGTGTATTAATTTGTAGGACTGCTACAACAAAGTACCACAAACTTGGTGGTTTAAACCAGCGGTCCCCAACCTTTTTGGCACCAGGGATTGGTGCTCCTATGAGAATCTAATACCTGATGATCTGAGGTGGAGCTGAGGTGGCGATGTCAGTGCTGGGGAGTGGCTGCAAATACAGATGAAGCTTCGCTGGCTCACCCGCCACTCACCTCCTGTTGTGCGGCCCGGCTCCTAACAGGTCACAGACCGGTACAGGTCCATGGCCCGGGGGTTGGGGACCCTTGGTTTAAACAACAGAAATTTATTTTCTCACAGTTCTGGAGGCTGAGT